AAAAAAAAAAAAAAAAAAAAAAAAAAAAAAAAAAAAAAAAAAAAAAAAAATTCAGTGGTGCATTCTCTTGCTGGGGCCATGCCGGTCGTGAGCCATAAGCGTATACACGGCTCCGCCGGTCGCTGGCCTCACAGTAGCCTAGTAATGCGAGCGAGCGGGTCCCGGTCGAAACGACCGGCGTGGCCCCGGCAGAACCCTTCGAGGCCGGTCGATACGACCGGCGTGGCAGTCAACGTGTTAAGGTGAATTTGCATCAGAAGCAAGAAACATCGAGAAATGGAACTAATTTTACTAAATTTTGGGCTTCACTTCAAATTTCGGACCAAATAACGGATTGATTACACCTGGAGGTACATTTTAGTTGTTTCCTTCCAATGAGTTCATTTTTTAAACCTTAAAATAAAACTAAAAGAATGCTAACGCAATATTATCACCCTCCATTCTTTACTTACAGAGTTTGATTTTTGCCCGTCTTCTCTAGAATGATCACTTTGCCTCTCATTTTAAACGAGAATGAATTTTAATTTTCGATGACTGGTTTTCAGTACGAGGAACTGGATGATCTGGAGCGCGATTTCATGCAATTATGCAAGAATGCGCAGTTGTATAATGAAGAAGCATCACTCATCTATGAAGACTCAATTGTACTGCAGTCTGTTTTTACGAACGCTCGTCAGCGTTTGGAAAGTGAAGAGGAAGAAGCTCCGGAGGAAGAAGAAAAAGGTGAGCGTCCCAAAGGAGGGCTGAGCTTTTTCCGTTGTGACCTATTATTTGATATTTTTTTGAGAGAGAAATCTTCTGATTTGAAAAATTTAAGAAATAACCCATCTGCATATGGGATTAATTGGAATTTTGGAGGCTGCACTCAGCGGAATTGGATTCTTAAGCGTTTGTCTGATTCAAAATTGACCTGTGAGGAAAAGCATGACTTGGCCTGTGACCATGTCATTTTTGTCGCATGTACACTCGAATTTCGAATCTTCAAAATTTTTGGAATCCCGTCACATGAAAGCATAAAAAAGTACAGAGTTTTTTCGTTTCGGGGTTAGTAATTATTTTTGGGAAGTATTGAAAAAGTATTGTATTTTTTTCCAGCCATTTTTATTAGACACTGTGTCGAATTTTTCTTCGTTTTGTGTTGTCGTTTATTTTAACCTAACTCTTATTATTCTTTTTATGTTAAAGCGGCACCTGCTGAAGAGGAAGCCTCATCTGGAGCAGAATCGTCCTCTGTGAAAATGAAATTAAAATTGAAGGCATCAACCAAAACGCCGAAAAATTCCGATGCCAAAACTGATACAAAGTCTACCCCACGATCAAGGAAAAGAACCTCGAAAAAATACATAAGTGACGATGAGAATGAAGATGATGCCGAATCAAGTAATGGCTAAGGTATAATTTACCTTATTTTGTTAATCGTAATTTTTTTTATCCTTCATTCTTATTATCATGTTTTAATTTTTTAATGTGCTTTTATTTTTAACTTTTTTTTTTTTTTTTCATTTTACGTCTACAGCCTCTCAATGTCAAGTGACTGTAATATTTTTAGCTTCAGTATTTTCTTTTTATACTTTTGTATTTTTATCAGGGGTAAGTAAGGAAAAGAGGATTTAAATTTTCATTCCTTAAAATTGGGTGCTCAGGCTAGTATTATGAAGGTTCTAAAGCACCACTAATTGATAATTAGAATCTTACATCACTAGTACCTAGATGCTTTGTGAGTATTTTTGACCCATTGCTTTTTCTCCAGATTGAAGTTAAATTAGATAATAGAAATGGCACTAATGAGTTTTGAAAATTAGCAACTCGTATCTCGTCAGATCCTTGTGTTTTTCAAAATTTTAAAGTATCTCATGGTAGCTCTATAAAGAAATGTGAAGTGATATTTTTCTTGTCGTGTATTGTTACCACTATTTTACTTAGAATATATATGATCATTTGGCAAGTTTTAGCAATCAAGCTTCAGTTTCTTTGTACTTATATTTTGGCATCGACTACTCTCAAGATCATGTCAACAACAAGTTGGTGAGAAGAGTCAGAAAGCCACCTGAAATTTTGACTGTACGAAAATTAACATTTATTATCCATGTCATCCATTTGCTGTTATACCTATGTAACTACCACCTACATGTTCTATAGGAGCCAGATCTGCTCATTTGTTAATTAGTAGCTTAGGTTGGAATTAAAAACCTAATTAAAATTCTATGAATATATCGGCTAAAATATCTGATGAAGGTCGAATTGATTGCTATAACCAAGGTCAGAGCAGACGCTAGCTCTCACACAGGCAAAAATACTTGTGAAAAAAGCAAAATACTCTAAACAAGTAGTTGAAAAATTGTAACTTGTAGTTTTGTAATGATTTTTTTCGGGTAGTTGTAGGATTCTACGAGGGGACAATGTTTTTAAAAGCGTTTCTGTGTTCGTCAGTAATTCATGCGCACATCGGAACCATTATTTAACATTACATTTTAAGTTGCTGCCCCAAGTTTCACAATGTAGTTTTTGTGTCCTATATTATCGGAGGCCCTGAAGGAAGTAGTCTGTTATTTAACTTAATTTGGAAATGCACTAAGTAGTATTGTCAAGCATTTAGTTTGAAGTATTTTGAAGTTTTTGTGGCCCATCCTAGGTCCAGGTGCTATAATTTGTCCGAGTGCAATCAAAAGTCTGATGTAATCAATACAAGTCATTAATTTTAAGCTGTCTCTTAACATCCAATGTCTTTTTTGTTATATCATCTTTGAACTAACTTCATGTTTTATGAATAATATTATCTTCTCTGAACAATTCTCATCTTACTGGGAAAATCTCTAATTTTTAACCTGAACTATTTTAATTTATTGTTTTATTTTTATCTTGAACGTAAAAGTGTCCAGAAGTTCCAAGGGAAGTGAAACGAAGGTATGCGCTTCCGAAATTGACCACCCAAGATGGACAGAATGCCCTATCGCTTTGTTTTTTTTTTCATTCCTAGCAAGAAGTTTAAAACAGGGCTCCATGTCTGCAATATTCGATTCTTACTGGTCCATTTTTTCCTCGGGCATCAAGAGACAGGTTTCCAATTCTGCAACATTTGTTCCTTATTGGCCCACTCTTCCCCATGAAACAATTTTCCCGCCAAAAGATTGGAATGGAACCAAAGCAACTAAGCATTTTGTTGACTTTGGGTGCCTGAATAGAGGAAGAGCATACCTCCGTTTCACTTACCTTGCAGGAGATCAGCCCTTGGTTGGTTGTAGAGCTACATTGGCATGAATGAATGATTTACTTCTTTCATTTTTAACGTCACATTCCAAAGGAAAGTTTTCAGTTATTGTAATCTGTTTTTGTTGAGAATTAGTCCTACTAAAAGTTGAGCTTCATGTGCACGCATTTTTTTTAAATTTTTATTTTAGTTTGTATCTAAAGTTCCTAATGTAACTGATGGTAAATTTTATCTTTTCTCTTCCAAATTTGATCTTCTGACAGACTGATCTTTTCTTTTTAAGTATGTTATCAGTCTGTGATAAAATGCTGTAATGTACTTTTTAATGGCTACTCATTTTTGGAAGTAATGATTGTATCTGTTTCTTTTTTTTAAATTGAAATATGCAGGTAAATTTTGCAATAGATTCCTTGTAAAGCACTGTAAGTTGTTTTGAGTGCTATCGAAATTATTAAAAAATCATGGATCTACTCTGGCAAAAATTTTACTCCGATTGTTGTGTCATCATATGCTGCAAATTTAGCTACATTTTTTTCTGAAATCCACGATGCTAGTTTTGGGGTGCAATTTTTTACTGAGGCTCTTTTAACTAATTACACTTCATAACTGTTTGAAAATGATATGAGATATGTTAAAATTTTAAGAAAATTCATTCAATTGGATTAGGTATGATTCTCAGAAAGCATGTAATATTCAGATGCCAAATTCAATCAGTCGCAAAACCTTAAGGTTACACTGCCATTGAATAGTTACTTATCTTTAATCTCTTATAGTTCCTATTTTCTAATCATCGATGCAAGCTGATCAAAGGTAAATTAATTGTAATTTTTGCAATGACTTTTCATGTGACTATTCGTTAAAAATCCAATGTGAAAGTAAGTCAAGGTGCCCTATCAGTTTTAGGTAAACTATCGAAACAGTTCTCTTAAAAAGTATTCGTAACAATAAGAAAACCCTTACCAAAAGCAATCAAAGTTTACAGAAGCGGCGAAAATGAGCTATTGTCATGAATGTCAGTTTTACGGGTCCTGCAACCCAAGGTACTGAGACATACGAGGCCATAATGGCTTGACTCGCGCAGTTCTGATGAAACTGCCCATTTCTAGCAAAATCAGCCATATTGAAATGTATTATCATTTTGAAACAAGTTGCACCGATAGTTTACTGACATGGATTCGTTTGATCATCCTTCTGTGAAAGAATCAAATAAGAAAATAGTATTGTTTGCCAATCTTTTTTTGTGCAGTTGCATAGTTGCCTCAGTACATAGTGTATGTGTATTCAAAGTACTCAACCTTGATCATCTCTATATTATCATGCATTAGATTTTCAGTAAGGTGCCAATGTACACCAGAGGAAATATCTGTATGTTATTTACATCTATGAGCAATGAATCTTTATTTAACTTATGTACTTGTTGAATTAGGACCGTATGGATAAAGTTTAGTTTTTCTCTTTATTCATTATCTCTTATGTATGCAAAATTGGAGCTTTTGTCAGGATTTTTAGTAGAATCTGATACAATTTAAAAGTAATAGTTTAAATTTGAACAAGATTTTTTGGTCTTCGGCCACTCTTAATGATGAAAACAATATTTGAGCTATTAGCCGATTTTTCATATATGAGCAATGATTGCGACTCAGGCCATGCTTTAATAAAGTAAAACAATGCACATTGCACATTGTTTTATTTTATTAAAGCATTGCCTGAGTAGCAATCTTTGCTTATATTTGAAAGATCGGCTAATAGCTCATATTTTGTTTAAATTTGAAAAGACCAAAATCTACACCTAGGAGATATGTGAGACGTTTAAGGACTTCTTTCAAATCTGGCAGAGAGACAAGGATTCACCCATTTAATAATTTCTGCCACATTACTTCCTCCATTTTTTTAAAACTAAATCAAATTGGTAAAAAAAAAAAAAAAAAACATATCCGACACATTCTAAGCTTATGGGGAAGTCCAAGATTTTGAGAATCGGTTGACGGGTTTACAATGAGACTCAATTCAACCAGGACTATGTATCATTGCAACAGGCCCACGTTACGCAGCTGGTTCTGTTGGAGGTCGGCCGATAGCGACTTAAGGTTGTCACAGTAGAATTTCGTTTCCTTGCACACCTGTCACCTGATTTTAAAAAATTAGGGCTTTTTTTCAAGCTGAAAATAAGTCTGATGTACACACCTTTCCAGATTTGATTTATATCCCTCTCTTTGAAAGATCTGAAGTAGCGGAACCTACTTTTTGGATGATCCTTGTGTTATGATGAATATTTTACTCCATCCCCTTTTGCACCCAAAATCAAAGCAGCAAAATATTTTTTTCCATTAGCCTCCCAGTCTGTAGGTCAAAATTTCTTTATTTGTCTTCAAAGAAAGCTCAAATGGACTGAGTTAAGCAAAACAGTCAATTCTACATGGTGGTGTTTCAAAATATTATCTACTGTTTTGATTTTTTGGAAGTAACCAACCAACATTTTCGCTCCAAATTTCGCAGAAATAGCCTCCAGTAGAGTGAGAAAAACTGTACGAATTCTCGGGTAGATATATTTGATGGTTTCCTTCCAAAAAATGAAAATAGGATATGAGATACAGCAACATAGGTGTGACTGTTTTGCCCATCTCTGTCCTAACATTATTGACTTAGATTTTTAAAGTACTAACTGCCACCTTGTTTTTTCTAAAATTTCCTGCCCATACACTTCGTTTTCAACACCTTTACATCAATCGTCCACCACATGTCATGCCATGCATTGTTAAATGGCTGTGTAACTGAGTAGTGTCATATGAACACACAGTCACCTGTTTTGCAGTTTTGTTGGGACGCTAAATTTTCTCAAATCAATGTATTTTTGTAATAAGATTACAAACCGCATCACAGACAAACAAAACGTATTCATCCATAGCAAAAGCTCCAACCAAATCCTCTTTTACCCCTCAAATATTTGTCTATCATGCCCTAGTCCCTAACTCCTGTAAAATTATTTCAGAATACATTCGTCTCATTTTAGTATGTGTACCGGTAAATGTCTGTAATTTGTGATCATACATAGTTTCATGTATCTACACTCTTTCATTTCTTCAGGTTCTTCATGTTTACATTTGTAACAGTTGTATAATGCAAATGCAGCAGAATCTGTAAACGAGTCATTATTAAATTATCATTACCTTATTGATAAATAAAATTTTTTGACGCAGTCATATCGGTTTTTTTCATTTGTTCTTTTTGATACAGGTATCTACTCTGGTTACATTTTATAACTTTATTATGGAACATGGAAAGGAATTATTGCTGATCAGAGTTGACAGATATAAATACTGATTGATAGCAAATGCAGGTTCTAGTTTTTAAAATGATAAAGATTTATTTCAAACTAACAAGATGTAAATATACACAACAAAAACCAATGATTGAAAAAAAGAAACAAGGGGAAATCAGACTAAAGAGATGATAAATAAATTACAGAACAACTTGAATTTTTGATTGATAATTGGAAGATAAATTTCTACTCAACAGTGGAGGAGGGCAGGTCAATAATGTAAGACTTTACGGAACATTCCCTGCACAACAGAACTCTCACAGACATGCAACAGAAAGCTCTTTAGCAAAGTCAAACTTGAGGAACAGAAAAAAATTTCAAGAAAAAAACCAGGAATAGTTGCGATTCTTTGAAAATTATCAGGAACTTCATATTTGATGTTTGTCAGTGACAGATATGAGGGTAATTTGCCCTTAACATCTCCAGGAGCCACAAAGGTACAGTGCTTCTACTAAGAGAACTGCACGAAGCAAAAGATGAGTCATCTTCACTATTCCACCATTAACAAAGAGCGGAGGAAACATTTCCAGAATAACAATTCTTGATGACTTTATTGGATACTGATAGATTAAGATTTTGCAAAATTCGGGCAGAAAACATAATATTCAATTACTTGTTAAAGACTCCCTCACTTTTAAGGTGTTATTAACAATTCAAAGCCTTAGTATGGAAAGAGACTAGCTTTAACATCAGAAAAAAATGTATTAGGTACGTATTTGAAAGGACCTAACAATAAGTAGCGTGGATACATGTGAATTAATTTAAAAAAAAAGATGAGATCTAAGTTCTACCATTGCAGTTATAACTGACTTAAAAATAAGTAAAAACATGTATCAATTAATTTCTTCAGGAGTCAGTCAGTTGCTCATTATCAAAATTCAAATTGAATTCAGAGATAGCATCATGCCAGAGCTACAAGATACTTGATTTAACAAAAAATTCAGTTGAAAGAATTGCGCTTGATTGAAATTCTGAACATAAGGTAAGATGTCATTATTTAATTTGGTAGTGCCTACTCATGACGATGCCTATTCAACAAAATCCCTCTCATCAAATTAAGATAAGTCTTCACCATTTGATCTACTTATTTTGACTGTCTTTTAGTTCTAATAATGTCAGAAATAAGAGGGACGCAGTCATGTCGGTGATACACTGCATGTTAGCAAGATGACACCCTAAAATAAAAAAATAATTCAATCCCTGATATAAGTCTACATATTGGGGGGCTGAAGTTGAAAGTTACATATTTCAGATTGTAACGATGGGAGTTGCCACTCATGTTGTATCTTTTTGAGAAAAAACTACCGGACAGTTTCAAAAGAAAGAGCCGTATGCAAAAACGACATTTTTCGCCCCCCCACTAAAACTTATTCAAACTTCGTCTATCAGTTACTAATACTGGAGCGCTTCTTTCCCCAAATTTTCAGACCCCCAAAAAATTTTGGGGGGGCGCTAGGGGGGGTGGAAGTCAAAACCTGGGACCCTCGATATCTTTCGAACGAAACAAGATATTGAGGCCCGGTTTGGACGAAAAATCGTCTAAAATTGCATACTTTAAGATTCTAAAGTTCAAAATCCCAAAATTAAATTTTTAACTTAACTTATGTGCTTTTTTCAGTTTTTGAGGGAAAACAATTTCTTTTAAACAGATTAAACTGAAATTTCACATTTTTTGATTTGAACCAAAACCAGTTTTTTAAATTGTTCGTCTTTTTCCGCATCCAACGAGTGGTCGTATAAGCTGGGGAACCGAACGGTTCCGGAGTTATGATCGATTGAAGTTTCCGCTCAACGCGCGCCGACCGATTTTCGCGCGCAAAAAAGTCGGATTTGACTGTTATTAAATCAGATTTAATGTTCAAACTGAGCAAAATGCATTATTAGGGACTCTTGAGGGTCGCTGAGTCCAGAAATTACAGATACTTCCAAAAAATTCACGTTTTTAAAATTACAGCTCCGTACAGGACCACTGAGCGGCCGGTTGGTGCTCAGTGGGCCTCTAAAATAGCGCTACGGAGCTGTAATTTTAAAAACGTGAATTTTTTGGAAGTATCTGTAATTTCTGGACTCAGCGACCCTCAAGAGTCCCTAATAATGCATTTTGCTCAGTTTGAACATTAAATCTGATTTAATAACAGTCAAATCCGACTTTTTTGCGCGCGAAAATCGGTCGGCGCGCGTTGAGCGGAAACTTCAATCGATCATAACTCCGGAACCGTTCGGTTCCCCAGCTTATACGACCACTCGTTGGATGCGGAAAAAGACGAACAATTTAAAAAACTGGTTTTGGTTCAAATCAAAAAATGTGAAATTTCAGTTTAATCTGTTTAAAAGAAATTGTTTTCCCTCAAAAACTGAAAAAAAGCACATAAGTTAAGTTAAAAATTTAATTTTGGGATTTTGAACTTTAGAATCTTAAAGTATGCAATTTTAGACGATTTTTCGTCCAAACCGGGCCTCAATATCTTGTTTCGTTCGAAAGATATCGAGGGTCCCAGGTTTTGACTTCCACCCCCCCTAGCGCCCCCCCAAAATTTTTTGGGGGTCTGAAAATTTGGGGAAAGAAGCGCTCCAGTATTAGTAACTGATAGACGAAGTTTGAATAAGTTTTAGTGGGGGGGCGAAAAATGTCGTTTTTGCATACGGCTCTTTTCTGAGAATTTTTCCATCATTATGTGAACATCACTCAAAATTGTGAGGAAAAGTTTTGACTAGTTTTCCTCAAAGAAAATAAGACACAATCGGAGATTTTTAAATTTTGCAACTGTGATATACATTTTCGCATTTAGCTATGAATGTGCACCATCATAAATGGCCTTACAAGTTTTAATGTTCACATGCTAAGAGTGTTTGCTTCATGGACGATTCAGTTAGGTTAATTCAAGATTTAAAAAAAAAGGATCGAACGATGAAAGCACAAAAAAAAAGTCAACGAAAGAGGTAAAAAATAACAGCTCATGTGTGCAACTCTATGTCATCTAATGATATGGAAATAGAAAAAGTTATCACAATGGAGCCTCATGTAAATATGAAAGCTGACAGGTTTTCAGTGATAGTAATAAGCCCTTGATCTTAAATAAAATATTCTACCCTCAACTCCACCAAAAGGTTATGCATCAGTGATTTTCCAAAAATATTTTGGAGATAAAAGGAACATACACACACCAAAAAAAGTGATAATTTGCACATCTTTGTCCAGCCTTCAGAGGTTTTTTGAAAACTTGCTGTCAGCTTAACATTAAAGCTCAGAGGAGAAGAAAATGAGTCAGTTATAAACAAAAAGTTAATATCCTATGTTGAATGACAAGGGTACTTCAGTAAAAAGAAAAATAGCACGGTTAAGAGTTTCTNGGGGGGGGGGGGGGGGAGTTGATAAAATGATGGGTAAACTTAACGACACCGGGTTGTTTGGATCTTTCAATAACAAAAATAACATTAAATCACAGTAAAAATGAAAGCAAAGTTTCTTTAGGCTGTCAGTGCCGATTTTAAGTTAACTACTGCCTTAACATACTTCCAAAATAACAAGAAAAAAGGAGATAAGTTGTGCTAAAAACACAATGGCACAGTAATTGGGAGCCACATTAGATTCTGTTCTTCTTTGGAACTGAGACTGACTACTCTTACATCTATACAAAGTTTTAAGACTAATTTCAAATGATCAACTTGGAATTGTAAAATCAGGAGTTGATGATTTTAAGATTGACAAGAGGTAAAGAGTTTGAGTGGCTAGACAGAAAAAAATGTTCGCAATTTTTTCAGTTTTTCACGTGATTGATTACAGAAGATTTTGTCACAATTTAGTTATTTATTTAGATTGACCGGTTTAAGTTATGGCACCGTTTGAGATATACTCCATGTTTGGTTTAGAAGATAGGGTGACAGACAGCCGACTGACCATAAATTAGTGATAATTTACTTCCAATGGTAATAGCGGAAAACTTATTTTCTCTTCCTCTCGGTAGGCTCTGCTAAGCTCTAAAGCAAATTTTAGAAATTCCTCACATCACCTGGAGGCAGGGTAATCTAAACTCAACCTAATTTTTTTCAAAAAGACCACACTGTAATTTATAAAGAATAATCAGGAACTGACTAAACTTCATGCTAAGATTACGTTCCGTCAAGATAAATTAATTATTGTCTAGTAGTTCAGTAGGACACCTATACTTGAGGCATTGAGGATCAAATCTCGTCGAAGAATTCATTCTGCTGCCTAAAAATTTGTCAATCATTTTAATTTGCTGAAGAGAGAGCATCAGAGCCTCTGTTCGCTAACTTTTTCACGAATTTTCTAAATATTATTAAAAAAATTATCACAACATTTTACACTAGAAGTCATATTGGTTACTCCTTTTATTAAATTAAAATATCTGCTAAATTTCTCGACAGCGAAATGAAGTTGCGGCTATTGATTCTCCACACTTCACTTGTTTTATCTACCAGGTAACAAGAAAGTGTATGATTCATTTTCAAACCATTAAAGCTACTTTTGCCTGAAATGTCACAATCACAGTAATCGACTTTCAGTACTTTTAAAGTCATCACTATTCACATCAACAAATCAAATTTTGAAGTTTTCAAGTTCTTGACCAAAAATTTGAGTACGAAATAATGAAGTAAAATTAAGAACCAGCTAAACTATACATGACTTTTCAAACAGTTCTCATGTTGATTCAGTAGCATTTATTTCTATGAGACAGTAGCGACTAGGATTCGTAGCCTTTAGGATTTTGCGATTGCCATTTCCACATGTCCTCACCTGCAATTTAAATTTAATAGCAGGTTAGTACACAAAATATAATCACTGAATCAAAAAACTTTCATGGCATTGTAATAAAGGATTATCTGTTTGAGTGGCAAAACAAAAAAGATATTCATAATTTGGCTGGTATTTCTCATGACACGGTGTTTAGCGACTGGAAAACTGGGAGAGTCAAGGAGAAATTAGAGAGAACAAACATTAACTGGGATGGTTGCAAACTGCCGTACAAGATTCTGATCTTTTGCACAGCTTCGTGGTGGTAGGCGCTCCCAAAATAGCTAGTATAATATGTACATATGAATTATTATATTTATAATGTATACCGCTGACCGAAGTGTAGAACCATGTACCTCCATTGTAATGTTTCAAGATTTCCGCTTCTATTTTATTTTTTCGAAGAAAACCAAGCCAATTTCTTAACTTTCAATTTTTACAGAATGGAGAATTTGCATGCAAATTTTTTCTTGCTTTGTCTGAAAGTGCTTTAAGAGCTGATTTCACAGTATTTTTTGTAATTTTTTTCTGATATGGGAAAAAGTATGAACATAGGTTTAAAAGTGAGGAAATGCACCGCCTAGTGACGTCATCTGCCGGCATTTCCCATTTAAACACACGTATTTTAGCAGATTAGATAATTTTGTCATATCTTCTCCAATGATTGTTCAATTTATGAACCAAGAGTATCCTCGTGTTCAGTTCATTCAGAAGTTTCCACTTTAACGCGAAATCCATCAAATTTCAGGCACCTGCAAATTCTCTATTTTCCTTTAACCAAGATGAAAATTTAAGAGCGCTCTCAAGAAATTAAATTTACCAGTTTTTTGAAGAAAAAATAAAGTATGACCGGAAGTCTGCAACGTTGCAAACAGCACTTGCACTGCACATGCGTTGTGTTGCACTTTGGGCATCGATAAAACATATAGCGCACTCTGGACAAATATTTGTAAATGATTTAAGTTCATGACAGCCTCTCATACTAAAGTTCAATGACAAAGCATAAAAAGTCAGATAATATTTTTGCAACTAAGGCTGTAATGCAATCAGATGTATCTGTTGTTCAGCAATAAAGCCTCTAAAAAGTACATTTACTACCTTCAATCCAAAAAGAGCCTTGAAGGTCTGCTCTTGGGCTCTTTAAAAAAGGTTTCATCCTAAAGAATAAAGCTGAAAACTAAAAATTATTACTTACACATTTTTTTGAGACCGAATTTTGCTTCCCAGCCTAGCTCTTTTTTGGCAAGAGATGCATCACAGTACGAGCTGGCAATATCACCGGGACGTCTGGGGACAATTTTATAGGGGATCGTTTTATTTGAAGCTTCTTCAAATGCTTTCACAACCTGTAAATGAAAGAGATTCATCAAAAAATTGATACTGAATAGGAAAACACAAAATCAATGAAAAATTAAAAGTGAACAGAAAAGCATGTATCAATGAAAAGTCAAATATTTAGTATATGAAGAAAGTAGTTACAAAACAAAGGAAAAATTTACCTGGAGGACAGAGATAGTGATGACTGAGAAAGGAGAGATTACAGTTACATATCAACAGTGAAGCGCAAAAATGCAGGTCTTGGATTGCAACCCTACAAACTTTGTGACGTAATTTATTTTCTGAATGGAAAAATATTCAATGTCATCTCTGGAAGATTTTCCTGATTTTTTCTCCTTGTGAAAAGAATTTTCTGTGAAAATGTCATGCTGTCAGTGCTGTTTGCTTTCCTTTCATGAAAACATGGTCAAAGGTTTTCGAACTTTGCAATTGATATTCGCATTTTTTGCATTTAACCATCCATTTGCTACGATGCTGGAGTAAGTGTATGTAAGTAAGTATGAATATTGATACATATTATGAATTACACAGTCAGCTTGTCAGATTTGAAACTTTTGCTTTAAATGGTTTGATAGGTCCATACAAGTTTCTTTCATTGTATAATTCTTCCTACTGTTCTTTATGCGCTAATTGAGATATTTGCACTTCGGAGAAGGTAGATTTTGAAAAACATACCTGGAGAACAGAGTATCCTGTTCCAGTTCCTAGATTGTAAACTTTAAATCCTAGGGCATCGTTGCTCAACAATTTTTCTAAGGCACTGACATGGCCGACAGCAAGATCAACAATATGGATATAATCCCGAACACCTATGATAAGAGGAAGAGTAAAAAAAGTATGAACAAGATTACAATATCAGAATTATCACATTAATACATTAATGCTACATTTAATGATGTCTGACTTCCTTTTAAATTTTATTTTTTGGACAGAGAAATTTAATTTTTTTAACAGAGAGCTGAACAGCACAACGCTTTGAACTCTCTAAATTTTCCTCCAATTATGCAGAATATACATAAAAAATTTCAAGTCAGAGTGTTGCTTAGTTTTAAGGTAAAAAGATAAAACATTAGAAAAAATTTGTAGTTTCACAAACTGAGGATCACGACTATATTTCAACTTGCGGAATTTCTTTTCTACAGTTTTAATTTAACTCAGAAATTGCTGAACACGTTTTATCGAAACTTTCACACATTTTTCCAACATTTTTTTCTTCTGCAACTGCCTTTTTTTTTACAGGCTGATTCTCGTCTTCTCTTGAAGTTCACGCCAAATAAGTTTACTCACTTTTATATTGCGACAGAAGATTGTCTGACATCAGTTTAGCATGGAAAGTAAATGCAAGAGTTAAAATGGCAGGTCCTCTGCCACAGTATAAAAGTGTGTAAACTCCTTTGATGTAGACTCTATTATGTGGCTTTTTAGTAATATCCTTGAATTCATAATTATTTACAAGTTTCTACAATTTCAGGCATCAATTTTGGTCTTTTTCTCACTACTTGATTGTAAAGATTTAAATCTGTGCAGGTCAAAATGGATAGGTGAACTACACAAACACAAATGGAACAAATGAATACTTTAATTAAAAGAAAGGAGGAGGTACCTGTGCCGTCAATTGTGTCATAATCATTTCCAAAAACTTGGAGGCTGGCAATTCTGCCGGTCGCAACTTGAGCAATGTAAGGCATTAGATTATTGGGAATACCCACAGGGTCTTCACCAATTTGACCAGATTCATGAGCACCAACAGGGTTGAAGTAACGAAGGGACACAATTGACCAGCTCTGCAAAAAGAGATAGAAACATACAAATAATTTACAGAATTAGTGCCAGCTTACATATGTACGTATTCAATTACATACTAATTTCCATATCTTAGCAGGACCTTAAAATACTCCATCTATGGAAGCTAGTATATATTTCTGTACATAAATTGTCAAGAGTGCAGCAAAAACAGGAATGCGGATCACATTTTGCTAGATGGAAAAGACTCCAAGAATCGAAGCAAATTTTTTTTTTCACAAAAATTTTCTTTCACTTTTTTCCCTTAATGTCTCTGAATTTTTTACTGCAGGAGATACTCGAGCCAAGTATAATTGATATGGAGAGACAAAAGCAGAGCAAATATTTTAGCAAGAATCCTTGCATGTTGTTGCGGGCCATTTGACTTGATAAACAATTTACAGCAAATTAAAACGGTTGACCTTCAATTACACTACATCATAGCGGATGAGTAGATACTATAACTAGACAAAAGGGAATAGAAAATGACATTACCGGGTCAGAGGCTGCAAGGTCTTTCATAATCTCTTCTACAAAGTACTTTGACTTTCCATATGGGTTAGTGCAGTTCCGTCCAGTTGGATGTGCCTCCGTGAATGGGAGAAATTCAGGTGTTCCATAGACAGTGGATGAAGAAGAGTAGATAAATCTCCTAACATTGTGTGCTTTCATGACCTTCAACACAAGAGAGGAAAGATGTTCCATCAGTAAGAATGATGATAAATGATTAACACTAACAGCAGAGTAGGAGGTAGGTTTCAGGATGGTTGCCATAGAATTCAAAAAATGAATTTTCCTGACATTTTCCTGATTTCCCTGTTAAATTTTGGTACAATTCCTAGATGACCGAAGATGCGCCAAATGATTGAAAAGACACAGTTTGAAATAGTTTTCGCGCAAAATCAAAATGTCAAACCCTTTTTAGAGAGTAACCCTGTTTTAAAACCATTACAGCCAGTAAATAGTCTGATAAATATTATACTATACCTTTTATGGTTTGAGTTCTATTGTTTCATTAGAAAATTTCAATTTTTTTCTTTTTTTTCCATGAGTTGATCTTGAAAAATTGTTGTAAAAATGAAATTTCTGAGTACTTTGCAAAAAAACTTCCAAACAGAAAAGAGACCCCCATTTCTAAGACAAACTTTTTCAAGAAAACTATTAATATAAAAATTCGATTTTTTAGTTTTTGCCAAAAAGTTCTCTATTGTCCCTTAATACTTGTCCAGAGTGATATCAATCATTTTTAGCAGGGTGAAAAGCATTCCGATTTATTCACTAAAATATTGTGAATCTGCACATAATCATACTGTTAGGTCTCTTCAGAAGATTTTCTGGAAACTTTCGGCAGAAAAACTGAATAAGACGTGGATCTTGCTTTTTGGTGCTCAATTTTAAAATTTATTTAAGCCATCAAACAATTGCAAAAATGTTCGTGAACCTTTTATACCAACGTGTATCCTATTCTTTGTTTAGATTGAGCACATGTTTTTATTTTACTAGTGGGGATATTACTTTTACATGGTAAATGGAGAAGATGATTCTAACCTCTAAAAGAATGATTGATCCGGATACATTGTTCTGATAATAGGTCAGTGGTATTTGACACGATTCTCCAACTGCCTTCAATGCTGCAAAGTGAATGACACATTCGATTTGATGCTGTAACAGAGAAAGAGAGAAAAAGAGATATAAAATGAGGAGAAAACGAGGGATCAATAAAAAATTACGCAAGATTAGCCAAAAGCAGCTAGAGAAAAAGATTGATTGGAACCATAAACAACAGTTATTCGTTTAAAAAATTCTGCCACTTAAACCCTACATGCAAGAGGCTATTGTTCCTGCTTTCCACCTAACTCCATTTCAAAATACTTCAGAATAACGCTCAAGGTGGGAGTGGAGCAGCTGGGATTATTCTACCAAGCAATGTATTTCTCTGTTACCATCGCATGCCAGCAATGTGGCTTCTGCTTGCTCTGGCTTTTGAAAGAGTACCATCTGCTAGGAATTTAATAGATAGCTTTTTAGAGGGAAAGTGGGGAAAGAGTGCAGACTGGCTTACTGATGTTACCACTTCACATTTTTACATTTTTGACTCAAGTTCTCTTTCTTATTTCACTTAAGGTACGGAAAAAAAAAAAAAAAAAAAAAAAAAAAAAAAAAAAAAAAAAAAAAAAAAACAGAAAAAAGGATTTAAAAAACTCACTTTTCGAAACACTTCGGTAAGTGCTTCACGATTAAGTAGGTCGACATTATAGAAAGTTGTTCCTTTTCCGGCGAGTTCTTCCACCCTTAACAAGGAGACTGGTTTGGGCGAGTTTTTGGCTGGAAAAATTCAATTAGAAAATAAGAGAAGAAGGAAGACGAAATGATCTCACAAGCTTTTGAAGTTATGTACTAAACTTGATTGATTTTTCAACTGAAGACAACTAATGTAGGAAAAATAATTTTCTGTCTCAGAATTCAAGGACCATCCTTGACAATTTATTTCATTCCTTACAAGAGAAATACAAGCTAAGCTTATTCCAGAAAAAAACAACAATAAATTATGAAACAATTTCTTTCCAAAAAAATAAATTGTCCAAGTTTCTGAAAACTTTAGGTAACAGAAAAAATGCTCTTCCTCCACCCCATGATTCAAATACATTTTCTTCAAGTGCTAACAAAATATTTCTCATAATATCTCTCCAAATATTTACAATTACAGGACTGCTCCCCCTGATAGCTTTGCGAGCCAACCACCAACCCCCATAAGCGATTTGCGCCTCAGGTGTAATGAGTTATGGGTTACTCTTATGATTTTATATTGTTTCTATTATTCACATTTACAATTTGCACCTATATTGCTTAACTAAAATAGCAGTGCCACAAGCTATTCGTGAAATTCCCTGACAATTGGTGATTGTTGGGTTGCTTTGATGATTACATGTCTCTTTACATCCTCCATTGATAATTCGCTTCAGCAAGATTAGACCTGGGGAGGGCGAAATCTTGAAAACTTGAAAAAACGAATGTGCGAGTTCATTTCACTGGGGGGTTCACCATAGGGGGTTTCTGAAGACCTACACAAATCAAAGCTTTTTTAGAGCTCTTTGAAGTAAGTGCTATATTCTTCACTGATCTTGTCTGCAAGAGGTATTTCTCCTGTACTGTTGCTAAAGTATTAGTGATAAAAAATTCCTACAGCTGCTAATAATGCTGTTGAATAATTATTAATGCCCTCGTCTCAATAAATAAAATAAAAAAGAGAGAGAGATTAAAGAGATTGTCAGAAAGATAATAATTCACAGCTGACAATTCTGGAAGATTTCTGCATGAAAATCTACATAAATTTGGACCACGATAAGCAGAGAGGAACCAAGCCACATCAGCTATTGCCAAATTTAATCGGGCAGTTAAATTTTTTACATGAAAAAGGTTGTGCAGATTTTTTTGCAAATTCTAATGATTTTTCTGTATAGTACAAAGCAATTCCTTGAAATTATCAAAAAACTCCGCACGAACGTTATCTTGTAATAAATTAAATTGCTCTGTTAAATTTGGCAATAGCTGATGTGGCTTGGTTCCTTTCTGCTAAACGTGGTCCATTTTTCTTTTATTTTCCCCTTTTTTTACAGAGCAGTGTTACTCATGATAAATTCTGCTGCATACAGAACCATAGATCCAATTGAACAAAAAAAATAAAAAAATTAGCCAGGGCCATACCCCAGAGTGAACTACATCTCTTTGCTTAAAGATGCATAAAGATGTCTTTTGAGTTGCTTGTCCTGTGAGTACATTCAAGGACTCTCTAGGATGGCTTTAGGATCTGCTGAGTGGGTGGTTTTAATACAAAACCTTGCAGGAATTAAAATGAAAGCACAGTTAAAGCAGTCAATAGTGTGGACATTTTATAATCAAAAGTAGAGACAGCAAAATATGTGACCATCGACAGGAAAAAGTCTCTGGCGGAGAAGAACTCCAGCTTGAGAAACTGGCGTCAACATGTTCGCCAGAAATTGATAGAAAATATCGAGTCAAACAAAAGGTGTGATCATCCTGTGGTTGGCGACAGGGAGAGGAAGAGGAGATCATAAGGGGTCAACTGCCTGATGATCTGTGGGATAGTGGGCAATGGAATTTGGATGTTGCAAAGCGTGAACCTGCACTGTAAAAGCGGCTGTTAAATAAGAATTTTGGATCATGTTTGAAGTACACCCTTCAAGTTTCAAGAATAATTGTTCTCTCTTGGTTAACATTAACTATACATGAAAAAAAAATAAAGAGGGGGAGAGAGAGAGAGAGAGAAAGGGGGGGAAATGTTAATTTATGCTGTAAAATGTTTTTTTTTTTAAAAAAAAATCATCATTAAAAATAAAACAGCAGGAATTTGTCAACTTCCAATCTCCCTTTCTTTTTATTTCTGAACTAGGATAATCACTATGCTGATAGTTTTCAATAAATCCTTTTTAAACGAACTTCCCCTAATTGTAGAACTTTTACGCGGGAAGCTGACTTTATCAGCTCAATAAACTGATAAGAATATCTTTAGTTTGACCTTGACATACTAGCTCTGCTCAGTGGCACTTCATTTACATTCATAGTGCTAGCCAACTTCTGAAAACATATACCACTATTGCGGCATTTCAAAATTTCAACTTTTTTATTGTTTCGAAAGAGAAAAAGCCAACTTAATTTACTTCTTGTTTAACATTTTCATGACATGTTCTTCCCAGAAAAAAGAGAAATCTAGAAAATTTTCTCGGTCTAGCATAAATTAGCCTACTATTGTGTAAGTAAGCACTCTCCATGAAGTATGATGGAGAACTTGCAACATTGCGGGTAATATAAAGTATTTAATCCACAAATTATCTGGGTAATAACATCCATGGCCAAAGTGCAAAACCATGTGATTCCAATTGCAACGTTGCAGACTTCCTTCAATAATTTATATTATATTTGGAAAACTAGTCAACGTAATTTCTTGAAAACTACCTAGATTTAATTTTTCTATCAGTAAAATATTCTGTACGAATTTCAAGCTATTAAGTTGGCTTGTTCTTCTTTGAAAAAATAAAATAAGAGCAAAAATTGTGAAAAACTACGATAGAGATGTATCTCTATTGTAGTTTTTCACAATTTTTGTCAATTCGTATACATTTCACAATTTTGTCAATTTTGGTCAATTCGTATGAGTGGTTTCACACTTCAGCCATCAACATCTTTTCGCCTTTGATAATATTTACTAATCATGGAATTTTTAAAACCTCTCACCTTTACATGCGTTAATAAAATTGTCTACAACCACCACCTGATACCCATGCTCGAGTAGTGATAACACAGCGTGAGAACCAACATACCCCGCTCCACCAGTCACCAATACTACTTTACTGGCTTGCGGCATCTCTATTACCTGGAACAAGAAGTTTGAGAAAAATAAAAATGATGGACACAATTTCTGACAGAATGATGTGACTTTAAGCTTTGTCGTAAGGTTTATCTTATTACTATTAAAAGTTTGATGGCTAAAATTCAAAACCACACTTTTCAATTGCTACCCTTCAAAATATTTATGCTTGTATCAATTAATTGCTACCCTTCAACATATTCATGCTTGCATCAATTTACAGAAAGAGGACAGATCAATATTATGACTTGAAATTTCCCTAGGATAATTATAAAATGTTATGGAAAAATTAGAGAAAATTGCTAACCATAATGTTGATCTATTGGCTTAAAAAATGAAGTGAAGCGAGAAATTTTTGAGATATTGTGCTTGAATTGAATAGTTTTGGGGTTAGCCGTAGAATAAGTTCCACTTGTGATCAAATGTAAAATTTTGACAGAAAGCAAAAAATTATGAAAGGATGATTTTCCATGTTGCGTAACATGTTTCGGAAAATGATGTGAAAAATGATTTGCTCAATCCTGGATGGTCCAGAGCTGATTGAAGGTCCAGATTTGAAAATTTTTAAATAAGCCCTTCCAGAATTAGAGGACACACTATTTACAGTGTAAGCTAATACATTTTATCCCATCTTTAGCTAGGTCCGGATCTATCAGAGGTATACCTTCTATAATCTCTGGGATCTATGCAGTCATGCTGATGGCAGGCTAGAGGTCTCAATTCCCTTCAAAAACACTTTTGGTAAAAGGTAGGGGGGCAAGTTCACCTTTGGAAAATTGAGAAAATCAAACAGCTTATTGCGATGATAAATATCAATGAGCTATGATTTTCTGAGTCAACATGTAGAGAAAAATACTCGGCGCTTTCAGAAGGTCTGATTACAAATGTTTGTTTCAATGAATTGAGATTAGTATAGGTATTGAATGTTCATTAAAAAAGCATTCATTTAACAAGGGTCAAATCTCCCAAAAAATTAATTCTTCGTAACTGTTGATAAGTACTGAAAAGGAAACTCAATACAAAATCTCATTGAATTTTACTCGGTGAAAAGGAGTGTTGGATGTCGTGCTACTGTAATGTTGAAGGGAAAATTCATGCTTTGCACAAAGATTTTACATACAGGATTAGGAAAATAGTATGGGGTATCATGGATTCGGATGATTAAGGGCTTAAGCGTGATGACTGCTCACTTATTGACGATGAATTACTAGTACCTCACTAATTAGGATAAATAATACTGTATCTCTGGCGATATTGTATTTTCTAGATATTGCGCTTGAACTCTCAAGATGTATTTCTTTCCATGAAAGCATTTACATCCACTCAACTCCTAAGAGAATGACAGGGACTGAGCTTCCAATGCTCTCCCCTCTCCATCTGCTCATCGTATCGTTGACGCAGGAATGGTAAGTGCGCAGCAATGAATTTTACACTTAAAGATTTCTCAGGGAATAAACTTAGCACATACATTAAAATCTAATGCACCTACATCTACAGAGAGCATAATTTGAAATTAAAATTAAATTTAAGATTCACAGTATAGAATACCTACCATAAAATCTGGTAAAACACTATACAACACAACGATACACAAAAGAACGTAGTTCAAATATCTGAAATCAAAAGCCAAAAAAGCAACTATCATTAAAGAGCGGTTTTGCCTACTGGGAGGAAAGGCAATTAAATTATGGCAGCAAATTTTTGCGCTAAAAAATGCTTAGGATGGAGCAGGGGAGGTCATGAAGACGTAAACTTGATGATAATGGGTTGAGAGGTGATAAAACTGAATGGGAGGAAAACATCGAAGATAATCACCTGAGTGACACTGGCGTCATTTTCTGAGCTAATGCAAAATATAAAGCTTACAGTGCTCTACTTTCATAACTCGAAGAAGCACTCTTTCAGGGAAAAAAACCGGAGGATGATGACTAATTATTCAACTTCACAACGTGCATTGTTTACTTTAGGGATGGGNTATCTTTAGTTACAAACGGCCCTTCATACAAATGCATGAAATCACTTTTTTCTCCTTTTTCATGGAGTTTTGAGCGGCCATTTTTCAAGTTCAATATTTCGATTAATTAATCGATTAATCGATTATCAACCACCGATTAGTCGATTTGAAACGATTACTTCATTCGCGATTAATCGATTACCGATTAATCGATTAGTTCATTAATCGCCCAACCCTAGTTTACTTATTTTTTACAGACGATAACCTCAAACTGAAGATGATTGACACAGTTGCCAATTTGCGGCAGTAATTTTCCCAAATCCACCCAAACCGCACAGGCACAGAGAAAATAATGCAAAATGAAACGAGATGTAATTCCAATGAAATTTCATGCTGATGAAAAGTGAAATATTATTTTCTATAGAATCTCAACGATTTTTCAGAGCCACCCCTTAAGCCCGCAACAAATATCCGCGGCTTTGATAAGAAACTTCAAAATGTGACTGGTACTTTTTTTCCTTTTTTTCAAAATTTCAAAATCAAGATTTTGAGTGAATAATGTTTCTGTGCGTTTCAAACACGAAGAAAAAGTGAGGAGACAGAAGCAATTTATCAGGAATTTCATATATTTGAGTTTCATGAAATTTTGCATCTCTGAAACGGTGGCAGGTAAATCAATTTACTTCGCTAGCGCCTTCAATTTACCGATTGGCAAAATGCGCGCCATATACGCAATTGCAGAGCCGTACGTAATGAAGGAACTATGAACTCCACCAGTGTTTATCGGCAATGAGTATTTAAAGTAGGAAGAGTAATGGTTTTAACAAATTGCTTGCAGGCAGCGGTTACTACATTGTCTGAGCTATTACTTGAGAGCTCAACGCTGGGAGCGTCAGGAATAGGCAAGGGAGAAAAAGAAGCAAACCTGCTTTTAATTTTAATCACTCCAGTGTGAGCATCATTTTTACCTAGAACCGGTGTTTATGACTGAATTGCTCAGCCTCCTTAACTCCTACAGCGAGATGCGCAAGCAAGTCTGCTTTTCTCGTCTACATTCAGTACGGATTACCTTTAAAATTGCGCATATCGACGCGACGGTGAATCTACAGAAACACGTATCTCGCTCAGTGTTTTAAAATCTCCGCGTCCATTTTATTTTACCAACAAAGAACAAATGAGCGCTATTTGCTTGAAATTTTTATAGATTTTTCTTCGCACAGAGATGAAAAATTAGGGAAATTTTCGAGAAATGACATTGGATATTTTTTAATTTAAGAAATAAAGGATGACAGGAAGTCTGCTGCGTCTCACCGATGTACCTACACGTCCCTGCAGTTTCACCGCCGAAATCGATGGCAAAGTGCGAAACCGCGTATTTCCATCGCGGTGTTTCAACATCTCCACTATTATCTTATTTTTTCGGAGAGAGGCAAGTCAATTTTATAGCTTGAAATTTTCACAGAATATATTCTACTAACAGTAAAAAAAAAAAATCAAGGGAGTTTTCAAAAAATTACGTTGACTAGTATTCCAAATAAAATAAAAAGTATATGACGCGAAGTCTGCAACGCTGCAAAACGGAGATACGCGGTTTCGCACTTTGGCCATCGATATGTCGCTCGACACGTGGCATCACACGCGGTACATTGACGGTAAAACTGCAAAAATGCGTAACTCGGTTGCGGTGTTGCGAAATCTCCGCCACTATTTTATTTTTTAAAAGGATACCAAACCAACGTCAGCACTTGAAGTTTTCGCAGAATATTTTTTAAAAAGAGTTGAAAAATCACTGAGATTATCAAAAAATGACGCTCATTAGTTTTCCAGATAAAAAATAAAGCGTAAAAGGAAATCTGCAACGCCGCAAACCGACGTACGCATTTCTGTAATTTCGTCATCAAAATAATGGGAAAAAGAAAAAAAAACTATCTGGTTATGAGTTCACAGTAATTTCTGTACCTATACGTTAGCGGACACCCCCAATTTCCACTGATCAACGCACACTATTTCCAAACTGGGTAACAAATCTGATGCTAGAAGCCTGAAGAGCTGCGAATCCATGACTGCAGGCAAGAGCGTCAGGACTCAGAAACTGAGCGAGTATAAGCACGTTGTGTCAATTACGGCATTTCATGAGGCGCAGATGATTCCGGATTCTCCAATCCGTAGTCAGAGCGATGCTGCAACAATAAAAGATGAGATTTACTCGCTTCCATCTTCAATAAACTTTCGAGTAGAATCATTTTTATCGCTTCTCGATGGCTCCCGTGATTTTAAAGCCAGCTGTTCTGCCGTGTTGAGGAAAAACGCCGCATGAGCCTTCAGACGTTGCCGGATTTCCTTCAGAAAAAACCGAACTAACTGGACAAATTTTGAACATTTTTCTTTCAAAATGTTTCGATAGTTTTGTTCTCAGTTTGATCTAACATGTCTGAAAATTGCACACAGAAATATGCTCAATTTTCGGCAAAAATACATTTTTTATCCGGAGAAATTAGGCAACTCTGGAATGTTCATACGACGTTTTTCCTCAGCACGGCAGAGTTGCAGCGACACATTTTTTACACTCTAAAGGCTTCAGCTATTTTTAAAGGTAGTCTACTCTCTCGAGGCATCCCCCCCCCCTTCACGAATGAAGAAACACCCCTTCTCTCTGGCAGGGCCGGATTAAGGGGGTGGCTAGAGTCCCTTTATACTGAGAGTCAAGACAATTTGAATCCATTTCTGATTGGTTCCCGTATTTTAGGCCTCCACAGTGTCACAAACGGGAATAAAGATTACATTTTCACCAATTGCAAAGATTATAATCTGGAATGGACCAGGGAATTACGGGTTCGGCAAGGAACAAACGGAATGAGAGGAGGAACGGAGAAAGGCATTTGAGAATGGGCCGATCAAAGATTACGAAAAACGTTCAACTTCTGTAATCTTTATTCCCGTTTGTGACATCCATGAGCCGAATTGTCTTGACTCTCAGTATAAAGGGACTCTAGGGGTGGCCACATGGGCCGCGGCCCATGGCGGCAAATTTAGGGGGCGGCAAATTTCGCAATTTTTTTGACTTTAGGTATAAAAAAAATCGGATTCAGAAAAAAAATCATCAATGAGCAAAGGGGACAAAATCTCTCTTTCCTGAGAGTATAGTAATTTCGATGTTTTTCGTTTTTCGGTGATACAAGAGACAGCATCTTTAATTAGTTGAGTTGAGAGAGGAACTGAGCACGCAATTTGGCCTGGAGCTCAGCGCAGAGAGGAATGATGACGAGGACTTGAAATGAAAAGGACAAGCCCTCGGCGCGGAGCGGCGGTCGGCATGTAACACATATTAGCGCCTACAAGACTGCATGAATACTTCACCCATTGCGTCAAACACAGTCCGGTCAGGAGCGGTTGACGTGAAACGCATAGCGCCTACAAGACTGCAGGAATACTTCACGCATTGCGTCAAACACAGTGCGATCAGTGCGGCGCAGGCGCGGCAGCGGAATAAGTTGAAATTATTCAACCACATTTCGTCACCTTCCAGGCAAAGTATCACAATCGCCATGCGACGTTTAAAAATTTCCGCCGCCATTTTATTTTTTTACAGAGAAATTGTTCAACGAAGCTGTTCGAAAATTTCACTGAATTTTCTTTGTGCTGCCGATAAAATTTAGTGAAATTTCCAAACAGATTCAACCAACAATTTCTCAGTTAAGAAATAAAATGGCGGCGGAAATTTTTAAACGTCGCATGGCGCTTGTGATACTTTGCCTGGAAGGTGACGATTTATGTTTGTTCTTTCACAATTTTTTGGTTCATTTCTTATAAATGGAGGACCTTGTCCACACAGAGACAGGTTTACGGAACTTAACTTTCGCGCAAAGTTCCGTGAAATTTTACCAGTAGTGTTGACAGAGCTTTCGAAAAAAATATATCCGACATGAGTAGGTAAACGCGTCTTATGCACCCCTTGCTCTCTGGCCTGTTCACTTGATGGTTTTTATTGATGTTTCAAAACGAATGAGAAGGGGGCGGCAAAATACAGGCGGCCCATGGGCGGCGAGTAGGTAAATCCGGCCCTGCTCTCTGGACTGCCTCGCTGAAGAAGAACGCCGTATGAGCTTTCAGACGTTGCCATCTTTTCCCCGATAACGAATTTACTGGGAAAATTGTGAATATTTATCTTCAAAGTTTTCAGACAATTTTGTTCGTAATTTGATCTAAAATATCTGAAAATTTCAAGGGAAAATATTCACAACTTTCCTAAAAAATGCATGTTTCATTTGAGGAAATTTGGCAACTCTCGATGGTCATACGGCCCACTCCCTTTGAGGTCTTTTGCCATTCCTGCCAACGGACGGCTTTCCTTGTCTCTATGGTTCTTTAAGGGAAACTTTCCGCCCTCTTGAAGAGCTGGCAAAATTTTATGACATTTATAGTCCTGATATCGCAAGTGAAATACTTCCTGATGTTTCAGCAAATAAAATGAACGGGCTATGTTTCAAATTGCAGGTCATCAGCTCAAAGCCAGGGGAAGACAATTTCGCCAATATTGCTTATGATTAGTTAAAATTGCCTAAAATACTATGTTTAAAACATCGGTCACACACTATGTTAACAGTACTATGTTTGCCTAAAATAGGGACACGACTGAAAAATAAATGCAAAAAGTAAAAGAAATAATGAAAAAGACTTTTTGTCCAATACTTCCAATGATTCATAAATTTCGCAGCTTCCTGAAATTCATGAAATATTTCACGGAAACGTTCAATCGTTCATATTTACGATCATTTTGATTCATTCCCTACACTGTCCTGCTCAGAAGCGGACGACGCTTGGCGGGAGGTGCATGCCTCAATTGAAGGCGCTTTTGCAAAACGCGGATAACAAGCAAAACAGTACCTCCGCCCACGCCTGTTTTATGCACTTATGACTTGTTGAATTTTCTCGCTTCCAAACTTTAAAAAAGTACCAAAGTTCATTTGCTCCAATTGGCTCGAAAAATGCATTGAAGCTGCTTTGGCTCTTATCGAATAGGTAGGTCGAATGGGAGTTCGAGTTCGGAAAAAATCTGATCAGTTCGACAAATCAACATAATTTCTCTCAGTAACTTTATACACCCAGCTTTGATTCATGGAACTCGAAACCTTGTGATAAAAATTTGGTGCACAATGAACTTGCTCCGTTCCACAACGTATGTATCTTCTAAAATCAGTATGACACACATTTTGATCCGAGCGGACTCAGGTGTTTTTCTTCTTTTTTTTCTAATAAAGGGAGGTGTCAATTAAGATTACGACGACGCACTTTCTCCAACTTTAAGTTTAATTGGGAAATATTCAATGATTGTGTCCATACTGTGCGTCGAATTATGATGAGGGTACATATTAGATTTCTCGCTGCATTGTTCGACATTTCAAGAAATGTACTAAATTCATAGAGGAAAAATCATGGAAGGAAGAAAAAAAAGTGCGACGCTAAATACTTGGTATTTACAGAAACGAATTGAGGATTTAGAGGAGCAGTAAATCTACATTCCTCATGATTAATGTATTTTTATGACGAGATTATCAATTCTCTTTTTTTGTG